TGTCGGGACGTGAGGCTTTGGCAAAAGAAACTTTAAACACGACATTCCTCTAACTGGTCTAAGTAAGGAGTCCATCGCGTTGGATGGTGTCGGAGAAAAGCTGACCGATTTTTGGCAACAAGTTGAATTGGAGACGTCAACCGCAGGTTTTGTAAGTTCGGGATACTCATCGTTAAAATCTTTTTATCAGTGGAAGATTTAAGAACGTTGACGTAAACATAGGAAATTACGGTGTAGCTAAATTATAAGCCTGAGTGAAGGAAGACCTTAATCATTTCTGTACTTTATTTAAGGATAAAATAAAACAGATGGTCACAATGAATCAATGGTATAAACAGATTCAATGAGTTCGTTAATCCATTTTATTTAATGCAACGACGCGCGATGCAGAATTGTAGTTATATTACAGAATAAAGGGGCTCGAAACCTCGTTTTCTTATCGACATTGACCGCTGGGGGTAATTATTTATACTCGGTGAAGAGCTCTCACGCTGAAATCCAACCGGAACGTCAATTTCAAATCCTCAAGGCAGCCCTCGCGCTTCGAATTGAGTATCCGGTACCAATAACCGGTTGTTTTTCTGCAACCATCTCAACACGTAGCTTCCAACTTCGTTACCCTTCTTCCTCGTTCAGTCCAAGGGCGTTTCAATCGAACAGGCACAAATCGCGTTTACTTAATAATCTCCATCTAAGAGACAATTCGCAGATGCCAAATAAATAGTAATTATTACTCAAAACGAAACGAATTTAATTTGTAACGAATGAATTATCATTATCTACATTCTCTGACAAGATATATATGTTATAATGTTAATATTAAAATCGGTGGTAAAAATTATTTGGGAGGATTAAATGGAAATAATCTTAATATAGGTAGACGTAGAGGAATGTCAAAGATAAGAACCCAGTTATTTACGTTAAATACATATAATATTTAGCAGCGCATGTAATAACAAACTACAGGCACGTAGTTCAGCATAATTAAATTCAATAATCCATTTAAGTTATTTATTCTAACTGATCGCAGTCTGAGCTCTATATAGTGTCAAATTTATTCTTTTCTTATAAACTTATTATCGTTAGTCCAATATTAAAAAAATGGTTCTGTTTTAAAAAGTGTAAAAATTATTTTTACAACTAGTATAGCTATAAAAATCTGCACGAAGACAGTTGAAGCGCCGATTTAGCAAATGCAATAATAAAATAGTATAATCGTAAAATAATCTCTTGAACAAATTTTCTACTATGTAATTTTAATTTGAAAGACCTAATTGACATGGTGGTACCATCTAGTGACTAGATTTAAGAAACTAATACCAGAAGAATCGTCGATCCTTTGAATTTAAATTTCAATAAACTGAACAAAATCAAATAAAAATTTAATAATCCAAGAAAAACTTATTTCTAAGAGAGGGGGAGGAGAGAGAGAGAGATTATCTCCTTACATCATGTCGTAATCGTTGGTCTCTTCATGAGTCTCTTTCTAAACACGCTATACAGAACACCTTGTCGTTAGACGAGAAGTCTATCTATACTCTGTGCTTTCTATGTCTGCCGTGTCTGCCTTTGTATATCAGCGCCTGAGAGTCTCAGGCTGAGACTCGTTTCGGCGAACTTTGCCATGTTTGATTGAAATCTTGGAAATAATTTCATGTGACATAAAAATGATGTTTACGAGAAGAATTTTTGGCAACTCGAAGATTAGGCCCCAAGAATTTGCCTAAGATTTCGTACAGGATTTTCTGTTTTGATTTCGCATATTTCGGGACCGAACACGGTCGAATAAACGGAAAATGCGATTACCGAAATTGATACGATAGATTGTTATGTATGATATGATATGTACGAAGTAATATTATTGTTCAAAGAAAAATGATATAATTATTATCACATATACTTTTATTAGGCAGTTAATGTTACACATCCGCACTACCCTATCGAGAATTACATTTATTCATGGATATACTTCCTCCGTAGAGAATGTTTGAAACGACTTATACATGTATGAAATGTAATGTTGATTGTAAATCAATCAACATATAATGTAACACGTGTTGTATGTTAGATTTCTAATTAATATTCATTTTCCTTTGAGTATAAACATGTGTTACACATGGAAGACATTTAAAAGTTACTCAATAATAAATAATATGTAAATGCACTTTTATTAAGCATATATTTAACTTAGTGTACGTGTCCTGTGTACATTAAACTAAACATTTTCTTTTGTATCAAAAGCGTTATAAATATTTAATATAACGCATTACACATAGCTGTTATTTACAGTTATAAAGAGTTC